CAGACCTGTTAATGTCAATCCTGAGTCAGTCAGCAGGATCAATGTTATGAGGCAGTTCTTTCTCCCAAGTGGCTGATCACAGGAGCTGCACAGACATCTCTGCTTCTGGAACCGAATTCTTTTTCGTTATGCGGTAACATAATGTTGCAATACAATTAGAGGAGCTATTCCTAATCCTGCCTGCCTTTGCTCTTATTTTCAGATCGCTATCTGCTTGGTAATAAATACTTGTTGTCTTAAAAGACACGCAAATGGTGACGATGAAATTGTATATCTTCAGCTAATTACAGCACCAACCTGCACGGCTTTGTCTGGTTTGGTGCAGTTCTCGTTCTGTTCTGCTCAGAACGGTTCTGACTCTGCAAGGTGACCTCTGAAGCAGTGCTGAGGCCATCAAACTCAAGCCATGTTCGGCCACAAAAGAAATTCATCTGTATGTTCAGATGTCATTACTGGTCCTGCTAATCCCTTTTGACTCAGTGGAACACTTCTGTAGGTCATTTATAAAGTTGATTATTTTCCTTTTTTTTTTTTAAAAAAAAGTATATTTAAGGAATAAAGTGGACGTTATCTTCCTAAGAGATACAGCTAGGGAATGGTTAAGGCTTTTAATATCCCTAGGTGGGAATTAGGGAACAAGAATGGATGCTTTGTAAGGAATTGCTGGTTATTATTACAGACTTCTGAAAAACAGACGTGAAATTAACAGTTGTGTGTCATTTCATTACTGCTTTGGCAGTCTGCTTTCTTTTTCTTTAAGGGTAAGATGGTTGCTAGGGCTTTGTAGTGAATAACCTTTTTGTGTTCAGCTCAAGGCAGAGTATAATTATTTTATAATTTTGGTTTGTGAGGCCGTTTTAGACATTTTCAGGAAGAAAAAGAGCTCAGCTTCTGCAAGCCCCCCTCTTTCTCAGCTGCCCATCATTGGCATGTCACAGCACCAGGAAGGGAAGCTCTGCGTCTGCCCTCATCATCCCCACGCGGTGTTTGCCTGAGGACCTGGCCACCGCCAGTGAGATGAATGTGGCCTTGACATTGGTACAAGCTGGAACTGATTGATTTTGAAAAGTGAAGTCCCCTGTCAAGGTATGTGTCTGCTGTCACGGCATAATCGCCGTGCGGAAAGGAGGTGGTGGGCAGCAGCTGCTGGAAGTGAAGGAGCAGTGCCTCAGGTTAAAGCTGATGTCTAACTCTTTGGCTTCAAGGGGCAAAATTGCTTCTAGGAGTCAACAAGCTTGCTTTTCCATGTGGTACTGGTGAACTTTGTCCCCGTTGAGAAATTTCTTTTTTAGGACTTGACAGGTTTTTAGTCTTTTGTGTCGGGCAGTCTGATACTGCCGCATGCAGTGGGACGGACTGGGATCTGCAGGACCCAAAGGGGCGTCAATAACACAGACATCTCTATCTGAGCCACCTCTCCTGGGTCGCTCAATAGTCCTAGAGAGCAAGTTCCCAGTACACCACACAAAGCTGGGACGTGCCCCATCTGTCTGTCAGGCAACCCTTGGAGAGCCAGGCCGTGCTCTGACCTCTGGGCCCCGTGGGCTGTCCTTCTGCAGGCTGGAGCCGTGGCAGCGCTGTGCTCGGATGGAGAAAACTCACAGGGCAGACCCCTGAGGTCGGACAGATCCCACCCTGCGACCTGCCTGCAGCAGCACGGGTGAGCCTGCAGCACCGCTGCCCAAACCTGGCTTTCCTGAGCTCACAGCCCCACCGCTACCCATTCCCACAGCCTCGCTGCAGTTGCGCCGCGAGACGCAGCGCCCTCCTCTCTGCTTGTTAATGCACTGCGAGCGCACATACACGTCTGTGAACGTTTTACCTTCGTGTCTGAGGAACTGCTTGCAATTCAGTGCTGCAGTATCATCTTTTTTCCCTGCTAATTGCTTTGCTACATGTGCAAAGCCTCAAACGATGTGAACGCCGCCACCACCACCAAATATTAGCCTTGCTGGGAGCCATTTGCAGTTGCACCCTCCGTGTGTTTAGGGGTTGGAAAATATTTAAAATGAGAGGAAACATATTCTTGCTTAAGGTGTGCCTCTAACTTGGGATCCATCACTTCTGCACGTTGCCCTGGCAACGCTGCAATAGCAAGGGAGTTCCTTTTATGGCTGATTTCCGAGCATGGCCGAGCTGGAGCCGGCAGCCTGGGTTACCAAGCAACCCCGGCCGGTGCTCCGGGAGCTGGGAAATGCAGCCACCGCTTTTGGATAGTGCCCGTGATCGTATGCTCATTCCGTCAACTTTGGTCTTTTTGCTGTGAAAATAATCGCTAGGGAGTCTGTCTGCATCCTGGTTCGTGGGGCTGCTTTCCCCCACTCTGCTTTCTCTCGCTTGAGCGTTCAATGTGGGAACGCTCAGAGGAAGGAGGATACAACCGTCCATTTATTTGGGAAAAAATCAGAACGTTCCATTCAACGTCTGATGCTGAAGGGTAATTAAAGTGATGCCATCTGCACAGTGTGAAAAGAGAGGCATCCTTAGCTTCCCAGGTCTGCAGCTGATCAGACGTCACGTTTGAGGACAAGCCTCACGAAATGCAGGTGTTGAATTGCGTGGTGAAAGTTTCCTCCAATTCCTGCCCTGGTGCTGCTTCCTTCTGTGGTTTTATCTTCCCTCCACTTCAGAGGGCTTTTGATAATAAGCTGCCTTGTGGAGGAGGATGCGAATTAGGAGAGCTTAGGAAATCATTAAAAGACTTACGATGAAATAACAATGTAAAGTTGCTGTGTTAAATATTTATATTCCAGCCATATCCTACCTGCGGTTGCCTGTCAGCCCCCTGCTGATAAACAAACACCTTACAAAGGCCTGGTCCCTACTGCCAGGAACCTCAGCTCAAAAGGAGGGGAAGCTGTTTTTGCAAGGGTTGACCTGAAGCACACAACCCCTCCTACAGAAGCTGAAGGACCTAGGTGCGAGTTTCACGTTAGCTTTCACCATTTTGTTTCAGCAGGGACCTGTCGAGGGGCGGTGTGACGGGTGGTGGGTGTCACAGCAGGGGTCTCCCAGCACCCCACTGAAACGTGCCCACCAGAGGTGGGATCCCACGGACTGGGACATGCAACATGGTTCAAAGCAGCACAACAGGGCTGAGCTGGCATCAGGAGAATCGCCTCGATTTACCACTTCTGAATAATTTTGCAGATTTCTGTGTATCTTGTGGATCTTCTCAGCGCTGGCAGCTGGAGAGGAGGACGAGCACATGGCGTGTCATCCACAGTGGCTGCGAGCTGCCAGCGTCTTGTTTTGAGTCAGCTCCTAAACAGCCACAGGAAGGCTGATTGCATGCTTCTTACAACTCCTTTCATATGGAATAATGCATTCCTCCTCTTTTGCAGGCAACCAGTGAGTGCATAGGATCTTGAAAGCCACAAGGGCCTGTATTGCAGCCTCTCGGTGAGGTTATTAAGCATGCGAGGTTCCAAGAAAGTAGCTAATGACCTATTGTGGTGGCAATTCTTTCCATCCTCTAAATGGAGAAAATGAGCAGCGAGGGCTGATTTGATGTATTTGGTGTTGCAGAGAACGTGCAGCTGCTCATCTCTGGTAACCTTCCTGTGATGTATTTCAGCAGACAGCACGGGGAGGTGTTCAGCGTGCGCTGCCATTTGGGTTGCGGGGTGTTTGTCACGGAGATCAGAGGTAGTCTGTGAGCTGCTGGATCTGGCATCGTGGCCATCTCTTCTGGTTTGCTTCCTCTGGCACTGGTCAGTGCTTTTAACCGGGGTGAAAACAGGCGTGCAAACTAAACCTAAAGCTAAAGCATCGGTTCCAGTTTTCAAGGGCAAACCCACTCCTAGCCTTGACTGCAGTCTTCATATACCCCAAACCTTGGGATTAATTTGTACTTGTACTTCTAGAAACGGAGGCAAACAGTTTTGGTTGCAGTTTTTATTGGTTTGGTTTTTATTTTATTTTAGACAATCCATAAGAATTAATCTGGATACAGCGAGACAGATTCCCAGGTGGCTTAATTTAGCATCACTCCAATGTCTTGAAATGGGCAGCACTAACTTGTTACGCCAACTGTAAACGTGGCCCTTCATGTCTTGTATCAATTTTCTTTTAAATAACAATCACACCAGCCCACAGTGATATTTAGCATTACTCAATCCTTGTAAAAATGACAAACTTTACCTCCCCGCGAAGTTGCCTGTGATTAGTCACACGTGGCAGTGTTACCAAGAGGCGACGCTGAGCAGTGCCCCGTGAGCTTCGCTTAAATCTGGCTGTTATGTCGGGCTGTACCTGTGCTATCCCCCCGAACCCTTATTGTCAAAGGAAGCAGTTTCACATCCTGCCTACTTAGTGAAGAGATTGTGGAAGTTATCTTCGTTGTTTTGAGAGAACAGAATTTATTCCCTTCAAAACAAGTGACCAGCTTTGCCTTAATCAAGCGCACGTATCCAGCCTTCAGCGAGGCAGGCTGGAGCCGAAGCCTTTCTGTTTCATCCCGTTTCAATCCGGTGTGTTGTCAGCTGAAACTGGCTCTTTTTAATCTTTTGTAGTAAATGTCAGGTGAGGAACTGACAGTTGTGAAGGTAACAATTTTCCATTTATCCGCAGCCTGTGTAATACATGAGTGGATACTTACTGCCTGTGAATGACCATTGCTGTCAATCCAACTTAAAATCCGTTCTCTTCTGTGCTTCTGGAGGGATGCTGCCTGTGTAATTTGTCTGTAGCTTATAAAGGAGAGAGCAGCCGTGAATTGAAGTCAGCATTCAATTTATTAGTTGTATTTTAAATATTTGATCACAGTGAGGCTAAAAATTCAACACCACTGTAACATGGTATGATGCCTTAAAATGCCTGTAGTATTTGAGGTAGATCAGATGGAAAAAAATAATTGTTTGTGAGAAAATGATAATTGCACGTATATCGCACTTCAAGCCGAAATATCATATATTATTTACAGTCTGGGGAAGAAATATGAGACTACAGATAAGAGGGAGAGGAGAGATTAATTTCATCTCTTTGGTAAACACCCGCAGCAGCTGGGTGAGGCGTAAACAGGGGCCGTACCTGGCCAGAAGCAGCGCCTGCCGCGCGGACAGACGAGGGGTGGAGACGGCAGCTGGGATCTGCAGCAGAGAATCTGCACCTAGATGTGCACCTGCCTGCGTGGCTCTTCCTTCCCTGCGTGCTGCCGATGGGATGGCAACGGCCACGCTCTTGGAACACGAAGGTACAGCTCAGGGTTGCTCTTGTACATCAGGCTCTTTGGCTGCTGTCAGCTCTCCTTCACGGAATGAGGATTTTAACGCTTAATTCCCTTTCTTGCTCACCTTTCTGCAGGTGTGTGAAGAAACAAAGCTGGAGTAAGGGCATGAAAAGGCATCCTGGGGGAAATAGGTCAGTCCTTTATTTACCGTAGTGCTTTAGCTCTGATTATGCAAGGAGCTTAATGCTGCTTCAGGTAGAGTAGGGCCTTGTATTTCTATGCAACACCTGCAGCGGCGGCGTGCTCTGCCATTCCTCTGCCCGTGTTCCCATTGAATAATAAGAACCAGGTTTTGGAAAGTACGCCAAACATCTGGTAAAATCAGGGCTCTACAAGTTTATTCGAAAATATTCGTGAGCGTCACAGATTTGCCAGGTGGTGAGCACTGTTGAAAATCTGTCCCTAATTTACTATGTAAATTAGGCCATTAGGTTAAATTGATCTGCTTGTAAGTTAGCATGCTACCCAGTATGAGCTACAGGGGTAGAAGCCGTCCTGGTAAGACATACACATTTGACTAAATTGTATTTACATTCCCTGCTCTCTTTATGTGGTGGTCATCCCCCTGTGAGTCATCCCAATACGCTCCAGGTTATGTGGGAATCTCGTCGTGGCAAAATGTTGATTTAATGAGCTTGGAACAAGAGACACACAACATCAAAAGCTGGGACACCCAGGGAGTAAGAGACTGGAAATGAGAGTACATCATCTTTAAAACAAAAACAAACAAACAAAAAACCAGGACAAATATTTATCTGCTGTTTTGTTAAAGGATTCCTCTTCTCAGACACGAAGAAATCACTGCAAGACAAACATGCTAGCAGCTACTGTCCATGTTAGCTCCTTTTTGTGCTCGGTATGTCAAGGAAAGAAAAAAAGATTTATGACTCATTGTTTTCCAAGGTTGCTGCTTCCTCTGCAGATATTTACAGGTTGGTTTTTAGAAAAACAGTTTACAAACTGCCCACTGAATTTCCATTTTTATTGCAGGGTCATATTATTACTGCCTAATCCATCATATATCACACAGGCTTTGCACTTAATGCTCGATTAAGGAAAAAAATGCATGGTTAGCTACTCATAAATTATTGTGTCTTCTCACCGTATATCTTCAAGATAATGCAGATGATACAACCTGTATGTTGGTAAGGCTTGCGTTATTCAACCCCACTGCTCACTTGGGGACACTTTTCTCTAGGTGTTAACATCCCCTAGTGTAAACAGGCTTCTCTTTTCCCTTCTAGAAACACGGCTGTTGGTCTCAGAGAGCTCTAGAAGTCTTCTTTGGAGCAGGAACCTGAAATTTTGTAACCGTTTTTAAATAGCCTAAAAGCAGCCTCGGGGTCATACTGTCACTTTTTAAAATATCACATTGAACATTTAACACCTGGTAAGTACTGAAAGTGTCACTTTGAAAACAGAAAGTTATTTTCATTTGGAGAATGTTCCAAAGCTTGACAGTGTTTCCCACACATTCGTACTGTCTTCCAACTGGAAAAACTTGGAAAATAGTAGTGAAGTGCATGTGTGGAAAGCTCATTCTTCAAAAGCCTGAAAACATGTTTGGAAGCAATCTTTTTCCAAGTACAGTTGAAATTAAACACTTATTTTTCTAATATAAAAAATACTTCTGTGAAAACTTCCTGACCTCTTCAAGTTCTCCTACCAATGATGAGACACAGAGGGGAGAGACAAATCGCTTTTCCCATTTCCTCAAACAGCAAGCGAAAAGGCTATAGGAAGTGACATTAAAACAGTGAACGTTTCATTAGAATTGCAAAGATGTGGATTTAAACAATAGGAAACGAGGGAACTGAGGCTCCCATTTCGTTTTATTCATCACTTATGCCCCAGCTGTCTTTGCCATGGGCCCCATTTTCTTTTGCATTGCCTATTGTACAGGTACTTACATCAAGGATAAGTATGTGTAAAATACATAAAACATTGCTGCTCTTCCTTGGAAGCATTTTAAGTTGACTGCAGAAGGGTGAGTAACTGCATACATCTTAGGGAACAATGTGGTGGGCTCCTGCGTTCCAGCTGTTATCTTTTTTATTGTATTTTTAACTTGTTTGCCTGCAGTTGCGTGTTTACACCATGCTGTCAAAAGGCCCAGCAGTGCAGCGGCGACGTTCTCAATGGAGCTGTGGCAGACGTAGCTAAATTACCGGTGTCGAGAACTTTTGGCTTTTTACAGTAGTGAATGCGTTTGTCCTGAGCACTTAGCAAAAATAGCATCTGGGAGGCCAGTTGGAAGCAAGGAAGAAGGGGAGGACCTTTACTGCACGTGAATAAAATTGGTAGCTGAAAGGCAAAAATCGCATTAGATTGGCAGCTCCCACCCTCCACGACTGTCCCAACAGCTCAGTGACACTCGTCTGCTCAGCTCTGCTCCAGAAGCCGTGGTTTTGGGTCCTGTTGTTGCTGGTGAGGTTAATGTATGGTTCGTGGTAGTGGGAAGTGAGCTCTTGAATGTTCCCCGGAAGGTTTAGCATTTGTTTTCAAAATAGAGGGAAAAACAAAAGGGAATGCTGCTAAAATTATCCCTTGTATTATAAACAAATGCAAACAGCTGTGGGAGCTCTCGCTGGCTTTGCTGCCTGGTCCTAGCTTCAAAAGCGGCCTCATTCGCTCCACCCTCGACTATAGGTGTCACTGCGGCGAGTTAAACAAGCTCCAGGAAATGTCAACAGCAACTGAACACACAAGCTGTGTTGGGAACAGTGTTTGCTGAATAAATGACTAATTTAATGGCATCCACTGGAGAATGGTTTTATCGGTACCGGTAATACTCCAGTATTGCAAATAAGGGGAGTTTAGGGCTGTAGTATTAGCATTTGTTGTCTTATGTTTTTTTCCTGTATTGAAAGGGAATATTGAAGAACCATTTCGATGCAGAACAATTACAAGGTGGTTTGCATGGCTGGGAGGCAGGTGATGGGGAGTGGATTTGCACGGTGTTGCCTTTATCATCTGAAAAAGCCAGAACCACGTTGGGAAGTCTGGTGCCTGACCGTAACCCATGGGGTCTCCGTCCCTCCTCCAGGAAAATCACCTCCGGGGTTTTGTGGCTAGCTGTAAATGTGGGTTTGAGAACTTACTTTAGAGAAATGTCCTTAATTTTTGCAACTTGCCTGTGGGGAAAGAAATGATCTTTTATTGTATTTAGTCATTATTAAGCCTATTTATAGGCTGGTCATTAAAGTACCCCTACCTGCTATCCAGTCGATGTTCTGAAAGCTAATTAGCTAAGTAACTAGAGCAAATCCACTATTAGGTATGCAGGGAAGGTAGCACTGACACAAACCAACAACAGGGGCCAACAATTAAGCAGATGGACAGTTCTCCAAATGACTCTGGAATTTATGGTGTGAAATGACCTTTGGAGGCAAGGGAGTTCTGCTGGTTATTTGAATGGCACCAGGATTTCGGCTTAGCTTCTGAGGCCAACAGGGGCCACGGACGTATCTAGAGATGGCTCTGGAAAAGCTGCAGGGTAGAAGAGCTCACCTGTGATACAACACCCACGGAGAGAAAAGAGTTCAGAGGAGGCAAAGCCGGGAGACCGGGCTAAGGTAGTCTCTGCTTCAGGTCACCCACCCTTTGTTCTTGGATGGTTTTCCTTGCTCCTGTCTGAGGGTGAGGGGAAGGTTATGCCCTGCCCTTACTGTAACGTGGCTGAAGCTACACGAGCTGTGGGAAAGGTTAATTTGAACACGATCATTCTTCTCTGCGCTGTGCTTTTTAAAGCTTAAATGCTTATTTTTAGGGTTGACAATACACAGCTCTCTTTATTGGCCCACAGAAGAGTAAAAATAGATGGATGGGGATCGTGCAGATGTATGCGAATAATTCTTGGCAAAACCTGTTATATATTCCTCAAATGCTAAATTTTAAGACATTTTATTCTTTCTCTTTTTTTCCCCTTTCATTTGCAGTTACACATTTTGCTGCACTTAATCTTTTTTTTTTTTATTTAATGAGATCATTATCAAATATGGCAGTTTGCAAATATTTTTCATGCTGTTGGGCCTTTTTCTTTTTTCCTTCTCTTTTCTAAAGCTTCTTGAATGTCATAAATATTATTTCTATAGTTGAACATCAGATGGATTGCTAGGCTTAACCATGTCTGTGTCCTCAGCCATTTGCTGCTGTTCTGCTGCTTCCGTACTGGTGGCCCGTGCAGAGCACGTTTGAGGAATGTTCTCTGCTTTAGCTTGCTCAGATATCTTTCTGTTCGTATACCCAGGTTTCATAGCTGAAACTTTGCAGCATGTTTTAAAGGCAGCCAAGAGGGAAGTGTAATGGCTCTCCTGGAAGTTGTTCAAAAGCCACTCCCATCGACTGCATCGGACACTTATATAAGGCGCCAAAAGCAATTTCCAGTCAAGTATAAGGTAAGGGAAACTAATTGGAATACTGTAGGCTGTAGTGAGAACACCTTTGGAAGCTGAGGTTAACACTTTTAAATGTATCTTTTTGCCATACAAGAAATGTGTCTAACTCATAATTTTTTTGAGGTCTGACACTCTTGTTCTTTTCTTTATTAGCTGGGGCTCCAGCACGTACTGTACCCTGCTCTGGGGCTTGCCAGAAGTTCTGGTAGCCCAGCCATTAGTTTGGATAGTCCCTTTTCCCCAAAGTGTAAGAATTCAGTCTTACACTGAATTAATAATTAAAGAAATATTTTGAACTGCAGCAAAACTGGCCCTGCGCACCTCTCAACAAATCTCTTCTCTCCCGTAAATCCAGCTTGGGCTCTCTGTAGCTCCTGCCAGGGTCTCGCTGGTCCTCTTCCACCAAAGAAAAAAAGTCCTGCTGCATCAACAAATGACCAATTCCCATTAAAGCCGTTCAGACACAGAGGCTTTTTTTAACCTTTGTTTACTTTTCCTATTCTAATAATCCAACTTTGATCAATTTATCTCACCAAGCTACAAGGGTTCTGTATTTATTACCCACATGTAAGGCACAAAGCACAAATAGAGATAATCCTCCACCAGGGTATATTGAAATCACAGCTTATTCACACTAGGACAATTTGGTTCTTGCTCACATCTGAATTCTTAAGTGCTATTTCAGGCTTCTTCCCTTCAGGACTACTGTAACTTTGAACTCTTGAATGGTTTGATTTCTGGAATTGTAATTTCTCTTAAGCAAATGTCTCTCACCTTTTATTTAACTTTCAATCTTCTGCACCCAAACTTTTTCAGCACGCAAATCCTAAAGCTATTGTTCCAAAACCTGGCCTACAAGGTTACTTTTGCCTTCCAGGCCAGACTCTTTTGCAGGTTTATTAACAACACATCCTCAGGTACATTTAAGGAGTCAATCATTAACTTGATACTAGAACGTATGCTGCCTCTCCTGGAAATTACTGTCTGAGGGTAGACAGCCTAGGAGGTAGTATAGAGACAAACTTCAGTGGGGTTGCATGCTCTCAGATCTCTCGGTGTAAGAACTCATCTCCAGTTTGGGGTGACCTTTGTCACCCACCAGCGCACCTGCACATGTGATGTAACGTGAGTATTTGGCATTTCCCTAACATGAGTCGTTGAAAAATTTCCTGTTTAACCTTACTTTGGTCTTGTCTTTCCCCTGGTTCCAGGTTCTACCTCTCAGCTGACCATATTCTTGTTGTGGTCTTTCTTTTTGGTACAGCCAACGTTACCCAAGCATCCTAATAGTGGGTATTTGTAGTAACAACTCAGACAGTCCTCCTGCCCTTAATACCACTTGCCTGGCTGCCGTATTTCATTCAGCAAAAGTGTGAATGCTCTCCATCTCCTATAAAAGTGAATAGAATTCAGGGTGTGGGGAAAGTGAATCTACAGGAAAAACAGGCTGTTTTCTTACTGTCTTTCTCCTGATTCTGACTAGAACAAACTAGTCAGGGGTGTTTCTTGTCTGCTTGAGCTTCAGATGAAGAAATGATGTTTATTCTCTCTTCACACACAGCTTAGTCAAGGGAAGTGTCTTATTCGGCAAATGGCAGAGCAAAGATAATATCTTCTCATTTTGCATACAAGGAGGATCCTTGGCAGAACAGGAATTGTTCCCTTGGATAATTTTCATCTCCGTGTGCTTAAAACTCCCTTTTACCATGTCTCATAGTCTACCCAACTCTACTGCTTCTGCGCTATATACCCTGTTGTTTCTGTGTCCTTTGCTGTGATTCTTACTATTCCAGTCTCATTTAGAAAATACTTCTTAAACTGAGAGGCCAGAATGCTGTTGCATGAGTGTTTTTTGCACCTCTGGAGTGACCTCTTTGTGTCATGTGGGCTTCAAAATCCAAGAAACCTCTTGATAATGGTTTGTGCTTGTGGTCTGTCTTTATAGACTTGTAGGGTATATTTGTGCTAGCTCTTTTTTACAGCTCTCCATACTTTCCTGGTCTTCTACCGACATTCTCAAGATTTGTTTTTCCTCTCAGTGGCAAGAACTAAATAGATCTACAAACTGTGCTGACATTAAAAGAGGAAGTAAACACTGAGCACTTCTGAAAGTATGGCCTCTCCTCAGCACCTGTGTTGTTGCTATCCACTAACTGATTCTTTCTTTCTTAAAAGTCTTTCTTCTTAAAAGAATTAAATCTGACTCCCTAAATTTGCTCTTTAAATCTTTAATAAATATGAAAAACTATTCAACACCACAAATTTTACAAGGAAGAAATTAATATAAGCAAGAAGTTGATTGTCAATCTGTTGTTGGACTGTTGTTGAGTGTGGTATTTGCACCAGAAGAAGAAGTGGAAAAAGTACTGTGACTTTCTGCTGCAGTCCCATGGTGCCTGACTATAGAAACGTTCTTAAGGCCAAACTGGAGTGGATACAACCAGCAGCTCCACTCACAGAGCTTCCTTGAGGGAAGCAGTTTGCAGTATGCCCTTTCACAGGAGAGGAGAAAACCAGGCCGGCATTAATTCACTCTTCCTAGGCACTGCAACCAGTCTCATTCCTTTAGCTTATGATATCTTTGGGCAAGGTCACTTACGCCATAGTGCATTAAAGGCATTGTATGAAGGATATTGCATTACCATATTATCACGAGTTTAGTGTGTTTTATTGCAGCATAGAGATTAAGGCAATTATTAGCAAGTTCTTAGGAAAACAACAGCTTCTGCTACATCAGGTCCAACTGACACAGCAGCAGTGTCCCTGTGGCTATGGCTGTAGTGGGAGCTGTAATGGTGTCGTTGTTTATGGTGGTTTTTTTAAATACCATCTTTTTTCCCGATCTTTCTTTCTCCCCCCCCGCCCCCCCCCCCCATTTCATACTGACTCTGCCAGACTGCCTACTTTCAAATGCTATCAGAACATCCAGTGTAGCAACAGTTGTTATAGGTGTAGTGATCATCCTTGATCACAGCAGTGTGTTGGAGCTATGGGTTTTTTTATTTTAAATGCATGCTTGAAAATGGCTTGAGTCATCAGTATGCAGACTGCTGGCGGATCACTCATTTTTTTTATAACACCAATAAAGTAGTCGCTTCAGTTCACCACAACACAAAAACATTTGCTGTTGCCTAAATTTCCTAAAGACATTTTGTTAGACAAAGTGTCCTCATGCTCTATATGCACTCTGATTAGAGCAGAGAGGTTTTGGACTCTCTATAATCTGTTGTCCGCTCCCAAAATGTTCCAGTGATTTTGCTAGTCCCTTGAGAAATGCCATGTAAGTGAACTGTTGTATATACAGGCTACTGCCTCCTATGGGATAGCCAAATCCAGTAGCTCAGTAGTCAGGGCTGCTGCAGCTCCCTCCTCGCAGGTCTGGTAGCCTGGGAGGAGCAGGTCTGGGTACTTTGTTTCTCTGATTAGGTCACTGGGGTTGTCAGTTTTCCTTTGTGCTCCTTTGTATGTGCGTGGAGATGAGCGTGTTATCGCATGACCTAACTGTGGATATATGCCAAGCTTGTCAGTGTAAAGCAAAAGCACTTGCTTAGTTATTTTATTCAATATTTAGGTGTCCATGGGCTGGAAGGACTACAGAAAATGACCACAGGTTGAAAACTGGACAGAGTTGTGCTGCCAGAAAGAGTTACTAATTATTGGCCTGTTTCAACTGCACAAGTTGTTATACAAGTTGTTGGTGAGATCCATAGTGGATCTCACCACCTTTCTGTTTAGTTATCTGATTACTTACTGAAAACACTTTGGGGAAAAAGATTTGGGAGCTGTATGTATAATTGCACATCCACCTAAATATTTCGACGAAAGAGTTGTAGAGGTTAGAGTATCGATAGCAGCACCAAGTGCCCAAAGCTGACCACACGTTTTCTGTACTTTCCTTGCTGTGCTTTGCTTGATTAATCGGGACAATTCTCTGTTAGGCATAAAATTAAAGTAAATGATTAGAATAAAGATGTGCTGAGCTACTTGACAAGACTTGAGTACAGGGTACAGAATCTGTGGGTGTTTGGCACAGCCCCAGCACTGCAGATATTTTAGCTCTTGCTTATTTTTGATTCAGTTCAAATATGACTTACCTTTTAAAAAAAAATAACTGTGATGTATCTATGTTACACAACAGAGGCTCATAATGGAAGAAATCACATGGCAAAGCTATAGGCATGAGTTGTAGGGCACAAGTGCTGTTCTGAATTATCTCAGCTTCAGCTTATTTTGAAGCACTCAAGCAATAATTGGTTGCATACAGAATGGTTTGTTCTATCAAGTCACCCTCCTTCAGAGAAGAAACCCACAGGAAGGCTTCAGAGGCATGAGCCACACAGCCACAGTGTCACTGGTTCTGTTCACTTACAATCCTTTGTAGTTTCAGAAGCATCTGGGATGGGATGCTGAGGAAAGCAATAAAACAATATTTCTGGAGGGATTTACCCATCGAAGAAGCCCTTCCAAGGGACAAATCAGCAGAGCACCTCCAGTAGATCTCTTCCAGTGAAGAGCTCCCAGATTCCCTGCAGTCTTTCTAAGGATCCCTACAAGACGAAATAGTGATGCAAAAACTGCATTGTGTTTTTTTGTTGTTGAGGGTTGCATTTACTTTAGGTGAACACCTTTCACCCACTGACTCTGCTTCTGGCTAAAAGAGTGGAGAAGGGGACTGAGAGCTGTAGCACAGAGCCCTTCCCATCCTGCCCTTCCCAGGATATTTTTTTTTTATGCAGATAGTTTGGAGAAATTCCTGGGATCCTTTGCCAGGAACAAGCAGACAGAGAAGCCAGTGGTAGAAGAAACAATCTGTAGCTTCCCAGGGTTGTCTAGTTAAGTTGTAAGTCCATTGTCAAACTTTGTTTCTCAGTCGCAGGTCTAGTCTGCAGGCATCACATCTGGACCAAGAAGAAATGACTCTCATGTGTGGGCTTCTGTTAACTATCAGTGCAAAAAGCAATGTATAAGAAAGAGGCAAGGGTTGGCACGATAACTGCTAGCAGACGGCTGGGATCAACTGAAGTAAGGAAACTGTTAAAAAGGAGTTGCAGCGTCAAAGCATCATTTTTCACTTTGTAAATTCAGCTCGAGTATGTCTACAGTGTCATTTGTGCTGAAGATTCGGATTCCTGTGCTGTATCAGGGAGCACTAATATCTCTAGCAAAGCGATCTGTCACTGAACTGCAGGCATCTCCAGGGTGTAAAACAACACCAGCTCGATGGCACACAGCAGCAGTTCACAGAAGTGCAAGAAAGAAGTTTCAGGAGAATAACAGAGCAGTTGGGAAAGACCGTAGGAAGAACGTACAAACAAAATGTAGCATAATAGGTCAAGCAAGGTACGTTTTGGTCATTTCCTTGGCTTTAAGATATATGATTCTGAAAAAAAGTTGCTGTTTAAGTGTTATTAATAAGAAGCAGGCCCTCCTTCCCTTCTCTCCCCCTCCCCCCCCCCCCAAAAAAAAAAAAGGAAAAAAAAAAAGGCAGTATTGTCCCCCAGAAGCAGTATTACTACTGCACAGTAGTAACTAACACACGAGTTTTGCAGATCTTTAGACTTATTACCTTGCGACAGGGAAGTGTCATGAGAAATGCAGTAATGGTTACAGTAGAAACGGAATAGGAACAGTGAAAATTATGATCATTTTCATGAAAGGAAAGACCCACACCCCCTTTCATAATAAGAAAATCTTTTTGAGTGTAGCCCACACATGTTTCAGAGGCAGCTGCTTTACTGATTATTGCAAGCCAAAATGTTATATCAGAACACACCTACTTAACAATACCAGTTGGGTTAATTAAGAGAAGGTTACATTTTAGTTCATATGCCTTTTGAAAAATGGAATAAACAACAATCTTTATTCCCTTGGGATAAAAAAAAAAAAAAGGTGTAGATTCTGCCAACTGGTTTGTAATATGAGAGTGCTTTACATGGTGTATTTTCACAGCTGTCTTATCAGTTTCCTAAAATGAATCAGGGTGGAGCAAACAGTTTAGGAATGTCATGAAAAAAGGATTTGGAGCTTTGCTGTGGTTCATGATAATGATGCCCTCTTGGAATAGTGTATCAGAGTCAGAAGATCCTACTGGGGATAGGGATAATGCTTTTAATATATTTTTGCACAAAAGTGAGCAATTATTGTGTCTAAACTTAGATGGAGGCATCCTCTTTGCTTTTTATGATAGTTTGACTTGAAACAAGTTTTGGACAGGAGGCATTTGCAGTTAGTTCTCTTGTGAGATTCAGTTTTCCAAAATTTTCCAAAATGGGGCAGTTTCTGCTATTGTAACTCATTTCAGTAGGAGCTGAGGAATCTTGAAACTTCATGGACCTGAGCATTTACTTGGTTGAGTTCATCAGCTCCATGCAAACCAACCAGTAAAGGTCAGGCCTTTCACCCACTGGCATGGTGGTAGAACCCAGACCGATTTCTTTGGGTTTTCAGCATCGTGCACTGAAAACTGGAAATCCAGAGATGGAAGCGACTCAATGCTGTTATGTCTAGAAAGAGTTATTGTGCTGTTTCCCCTTCATTAGCGTTCAGTTAACAAAATACCTGCTCAGAACACCGCCCTCATGTGTTTTGGATTTTGGTATAGGCAAGCAATGAAAAAAAAAATCTATATAGATTTATTGTATGAATTGAGGAGGAGACATGGTCTGCTGGAGAAGAATCTGATGTTCTTTTAATGCTGCTATGGGTTAATGGAGTGTATAGACTGTTTTAGCAGTTTCTCTAAATACCTGTTATTCCATCTCCACTAAGAGTTACAGTTTATTTGACAGAAACAAATTGAGTGAACCAAAGCTTTTTCCTTTCGTTAAAATAACTTTGACTAAAATGGTGCTCTTTAAAATATAGCATATTAGATCAACTTATCAAACTTTTGACAGTTATTCTTTAAGTAGCCCTACTTATTTTGTTGACTAGTAAAATACTTGCTACTGCTCCAGAATTGATATTTTTCTGAAGTCTGATTGTGCAGGTGAGCAATGCTATCTTCGTTAAAGATACCTCAGGTACTGGCTGCAAATTGTCTCAATGGCCTACAAATGTCTGTCTGCTCAACAGAAAGTGTATGATTTCCATCAGCTTCAGAGTGTCCCAAGTTAAATGTTTTAATGATAAAATATGTGATCCTCTGGGAGAAATTTTTAGTTAATAATTTTCAGTTTACCTGAAACGCTTAATATATGGTAATCTAGAAAACAGTAATTTGCAGTAGGCCTTGTGTTTTATTTCATCCTGTGTGCAAAATGCAACTGCTCCTATTCATACGATGCATCTGCTTCCATGGGCCTACTGTGAATTTCACAAGGAATCTAAGTCATTACTCTGGTACCCTAAGTCGTGCTCAACTGTACCTGTTTTATGATAAATGCATGCTATTGTTACTGGTCTCCATGGATGGAGACATCACAGTGTTTATACACAATCTATTTCAATGCTTAACAATCCCTGCAGTTAGAAATTATTCCTAATTTCCAGTCAGTATCATCCTTGCTGCATTTTAAGACTATTACCTCTTGTCCTGTTCATTTCAGTAATGGAGAACAAATGATTCCTTGCATTTCCTATTGACCTTATACACGTATGAAGGTTGTTGTCATCTTTTCCTTAGGTTAAACATGCCAAATTGCTCATCCTCTCAGTGGATAAGAGGATAGGTGAATAAGTGGGATGGGCAGAAAATAACACAATAATTGGTGGTTTCTCCTGCACTTCAATTTGGACAAGGTTTCATTAGTAGAAGGCTTTTTTTAAGGCTGATTGGACTAATTAGAACCATAAAAACAAATGTTGGGAGTGTCCAACCCCTTTAACAGCAATCTTTGTCTGAACTCTGCAGATGTAGCTGAGGATTAAAAAAATACAAAAACTTTTCCAAATTTCCCAACTATTCTAGTTGATCAGCCAGTTAATGTCCTGCCTGCGCATTTAAGCCATCGGGGTAAAGTACCAGTCCACGCATAACATCCTTCCAGGATGCTGGAATGTAAATTGCAAAGGGCGATGTGCTGGAGGTTTCGACTAACGAACACATACAGACTGAAAATGTGGTTTCTGGCTACTCTTGGTGTATCTTTATCACACGTAATCCAAAATCGGTACAGCAGTAACCAAATATATTCTGTAAAGAGCTTGTGCCAAAGCTGTAGAAAATTGTGTAAAGCTTTTTCTACCCAAATGAATGTTCACCTGATTGCCAGCTGCAGTCATTAGCAATCATCTTGTGAGTTCTTAAATAGTGAGCTAAGTTGGTCCTGGCGTAATGGAATGGAGAAATAACAAAAGCTGGTGTCCTGGTTTGGTCTGATGCACACACAAATTCTGGTATCTTTTGTCTGTACACCAACTCTGTAACATTAACAGCTCAGAAGGTACAATTATGAAGACTTTGCTTACAACTGAGTGCTGTTTGCTGTCTGATAGGTGTACCCCAGTGTGCCAGAGGTGCATTATTTCAGTCAAGATGTTATCTTGAACGCATGTAATCATTAAAGCTCCTGTGGTGCCTCTCAAGAGGAAAATGTTGAGATTGGTATTGTTGCCAAATTATGATCTGCATAAATACATCCTCTCTTTCAAAATTGCAATTACAGTTTGCCATAGAATATTCTTCTTTTAATAATGGGCGTTTTCTGTTTAACAGACGCAAGATTCTGGACTGAGGCATGTGTGTTTGGTTGGTAGGTTCAGGCATCTCCCTCAGGTACCTGTTAAAAAAAATAAATAAAAAAATGAGAAAGCATCAGGCATCATTGGAGCAATTTTAGGGCAGGAGGAAGCACTGGCTAGACAAGGTCCCTATCATCCTACATGAAAGCTCTCTTTGCTTGCCGCCACCAAAACAGCGCTGTAACATCTCGTGTTATGCCCTTCTTTCACAATGTCATTTTTGGCGGTGTTGTTCTCTCTGAACATTTCTTGTGGACAAATGGGCAAGACCTTCTGCAAAGGGGCTCTGATCACACGGATTTAAATCCTTCTGGAGGTCAGTAATCGCCAGCTCTGACAGGCCTCCAGCACGCAGTGCAAGGCTCATCTCTTGGCCAAACACTTCTGAACTTTATCTAAGATTATGGCTTTTTTCCTTTCCTTCCATCTGCTGCAGACGGGAAACAGGAATTGCTGTGATTTGCTTCCTGCTACAGCCAAGGACTGTTTGATGTAGGTTTAATATGCCGAGGTGTATGTCACCAGCCTTTTGTTTCTACATAGCCTTTAACGTTCTCTTTCTCGGTGTTCAGGGGAGTTTTGGGGCTTGGTTAGACTCATTTCTGAGGAGACAGCGCTTGGTGAGCAGAAAATGTTTTGTCTCTGTTGGTTTCTATTATTGGAAAAACTGCTGACTAGAACGAGCAGCTCTTGTATTAATTCCGAGATCTTCCAAATGTTGATCCTTCCTTGTTGTCTGGTCATCTCGCTCCTGCGCAGGTGTATACAAGAAAATAAAGCTATTTTTACTCATCTTGTTACTTGTTTCTTCTCTGAAGTTCTGTTAGGAAGCCTCTATTGCAGCTGTTGCTCAGATGAAGGGTAATGTTGGTGTTAAAATGCAACACTGGTGGTAGGAGAAGGATCATAAAGCACATATTTACTTAGATTTAGACGAAATAGAGTCGGTTATCCACAGCTCAAGGTGCTCTTGCCAAAAATTGCAAAAATGAAAATGAAACAGGCAGAAAAACAGAAATCTCCCTTTCCTTCTGGAAAAAAAGGCAAATCTATTTGAAATCTCCCCAGGCAACAGAAATAGATATGCCTTTCATTAGTTAGTGAAGGGATGGCAGAACCTGTGTTCTTTTAGACTGCTGAAGTGTGAAGAAAATCAGTATCTCACATCTAGAGGATTACTCTAAACTATTTTCTCCATAGGCATATATTTCTTAGATAACAAATATTGTAAGCAATATTTATTTTTATATGGTCACACTTAATAGCATCCATCTAGGAGATTATCTGATGGTATATATGATTTGAAAGACTGAGTGTTTTTATATCTTACTGTAGGTATTCTGGCTATTTAGGGGACAACATCTTGTTTGTTACAGCTGTGTTATTCCTTTGCTGTTGTGCAAACTTCATGTCAGTTTGCAGTAAAAAAAAAAACAACTCACAAAACACAAAGAGTTGATTGAGATTTTTATGTGAATTTTTTTGGCTCCCTGGTTCACCAGAAAGATGTCTGAAGGAGCGGTTATAAGGCTCAGGGGCCAGATGCAATAAGGTGTGGATGTGACCAAAATGGAACTTGGACTGGATTTCTGGACCAAACTCTGGAATTGGTGATCCTGAAAATTCCCCCCTCATCCCTCGGCTAACCCTTGACCACTTTAAATGCCAGAGGTGTTTGCTGTTGATATTCTTTGAATACCTATAGTTGTGCTTCTGCGTAAGCACAGACCAGCTCAGTCTCCTAGGTCTGGGCAGTTTGGTGCTTCACTGAAGTACAGACTTGGTGTGTTCCAGTAGGATCTGTCTCCTGGGAAAATGCAAGGGAGGCTGTCCTGGGTGGAAAACAAGGATGCTTTCTTTTTTTCCCTCTGCCTCAGGGACTCCAAACCCAAGTATTGACTTGAAGCAGTCCCTTGCCTTTTTGAGTTCTCAGTCGGAAGGCACCCAGCCTAAATTAGGACACTGTACACAGAGCCTGTGTGTGTAGCACAAATACTGAGGAATCACATGTGCCTCAGGAGGTCCTCGGGCCAGACTCGTTGTAGGCTGCCATAAGGCTTTGGGGAACCATTCTACACGCCTGCCTGTGCTGAAGCATCCCCTTTTGGCCACTGTTGAAGAGGATAGCGTGGAAAATGGACAGTGTATGACTGCTTGTAAATTCTCACAGGTGGCTAGCACAGCCTCTCTGGGTTGGACATAAATGACTAAATATTGAGACGCTGTGGCTCCTATGTTCCTATTTGGAGCTGCTCTTTCGCCATTATCTCATACCCTTTGACTTCTCAGCTCTATACTGGAAGTGTCAGATCCTCCCTCTCTTTCGCAAACCCATGTCTTGAAATCTGTTTTCTTAGTAACGATATAGCTACATATATAAAGCAGTTGACATCAGTTCTGAGAATATTTTCTTGTAGGTGGAACTATTATATCCTTGGTGCTGTAACATGGAGTCAGTGATTTGCTATGCTAATAACTTGCTGAAGGAAAAATGGGAATTATTCTGACTATGTATTATTCCCCCCTAGTGTATGTGGTTTAAAAAGACTAAAGGGCAACAGAAGATAAGCAATTACAGAAGGCGCTTCTGCTGGAAGTAATGAAAGAGACAGGAGGCTACAGATTTAGATGAAAATATTTCTGGAATATTTCCTTACTATTTTTTTTAAGTGCTTGTTGCTCTGTTTTATGCGTTGCCACTCTCTTATGAAAGAAAAAAGAGAGGACTGCAGTGATCGGTGACATATACCCACTTACTCTGATCCATGCTTAATTCCAGAAACGTGGCGTCTGTATCCCTGCCCCGCTAACAAATACACAGCAAAACCAAACACGGGGCTACCTCCGTTTTTCATTAGTGCTTCCTAGGCAGGATTTTGTCCATAGGAGTTTGTTTTGTACAAGTCATTTTCTTGACTCACACCTGAAGATTACCCCGTTGCTTAATTTCCGTGGTCATTCACCCGGGGCAGATGTGATGAAGCTCTCAGCCGTCCTGGGGGCAGATGGAGGCGAGCAACCTGCACCCAGAAGGTTTAAGAAGGCATCCGTCCCAAGGGAGTGGAGATCCTCGTAATTAATTTAATTAAAGGGAACACTTTGTACTGGGACTAAAAAGCTTATTTTGTTGAGTAAGGCCTAAATATTCGTTTTCTTAAAGGGAAATAACCAGATAAAATAATGTTTACCGTGTACTTTTTGCACAAAAATAGCTTGGATCCGTGACATTCGATGAGAAACCCCAAATTTCTGTCAGTATTGTTTTTCATTCAGGGTGGCCAGTTCAGCAATGCCGGCACACTGATTAGACTGCAGCGTGTATTTCTTGAGTAAAGAACACATTTCTTGTGTATTTCTTGAGCTGTTTGGGTAAATAAACGTGCCTACGAGCATTAGAAGGTAGCACAGCTCTTCCTGTGCACGCCCTTTGCACCTGGTCTTCAACAGGCTGATGTTTTTGGGGGGAGAACTGAGCGAAACCCTTCGGATTTCGGCTTTTGCTCCATCCCCTCAGCGGGAGGCCGGGGGGGGGCGTCCTCAGGGGGGAACCTGAGGCGGCGGCGGCCGCTTCACCCGAGCCGGGGCCGGCTTGGGCGGCTGCAGCGCCTCAGCCGAGGCTGTGCCGGAGGCCGGAGCCACCTGAGGGGGCCGCTGCGGGTCCCTCCTTGCGGGCAGAGCCCTGCCCGGAGCCGGCTGCCCCCGGCCGCGCGGAGCCGCCTCACGGCGCGGCCGCCACCGCCTCACGGGAGGAGCCCCCCCCGCCCCCCGAGGAGGGCAGAGGCGCGTTTTGCATAGCCACCCCCCCTCATGAATATGCAGCAGCCCCTCCCCGCTCACCTCCGAGCGCAGAGAGGGAGGAGGAGGGAGGGAGCGAGCACGGGGGCGCGCACGCCGCTTCCCTTCCCCCTCCCCTCCTCCCCCATCCCCTCCCCTCACGGCCGGGGGGCGAGCGCGGCCCCGCCCGCTCTCCCTGCCCCCCCCCATCATCTCCGCGCGTGCACGCGGGGCGGCGGGGGCGCGCTGCGGGGGGGGGGGGCGCTGCGGGAGCCTCTGGGCGCCGAGCGAGGAGCGAGCAGCCGCAGCGGCCGCCCCCCGCCCCTCAGCCGTCCCCTCCCCGCCGGGAGCGCGCTCGGCTCGGCTCGGCTCGGCTCGTCCCGTCCGCCCGCCGCGGCGGTGTGGGGAGAGGGAGGCGGCCCCCGCGCCTCAGCCGCGGGCGGTGCGTGAGGGGGGCTGAGGGGGGTGTATGTGGGGGGGGGTGTATGTGGGGGTGGGGGGTGTGTGTGTGAGGGCCGCCGCCGAGCCCCCCCCGCGCCAGGTAAGGGCCAAGGGGGTGCCCCCCACCCCCCCTCCTCCTCCTCTCCTCACCCCGCGGCGACAGATCGGGGTTGGGGGGGGGGGGAGGCGACGCCCCGCGACGCGGTGGTGGCCCCTCAGGGCCTCCCCTCACCCCCCACCCTCACCCTCCCTACGCCCCCTCACCCCCCTCGCACACACCCCCTTACCCCCCCCGCCATCCCCCTGCCCCCCTCGCACCACCTCTCACCCCCCCAGTACCCCCTCCTGTTACCCCACACCCCCCTCATCCCTCCCTCATCCCCCCCGTTACCCCCTTACACCCCTCTTTACACCCCCCTCACCCCCATTTTCACCCCTTTTACACCCCAGTAACCCCCCATCCTCACCCCCCCATTACTGTCCTCACGCCCCATCCCCCCCGCTGCCCCCATACACCTCCCTTACTCCCTATCCTCACCCCCACACGCCCCCCTTACACCCCGTTACCCCCTTCCTCATCCCTTTACCCCCCTCTCACACCCCAATAACCCCCATCCTCACACCCCCATTCCCTTCCTCGTGCCCCCACCACCCCTCATACACCTCCTCACGTTCGCTTACCCCCCATCCTTACCCCAATTCCCCCCCTTACCCCCATCCTCACCCCGTTACCCCCCCTTACACCCCATTAACCCCCATCCTCACCCCCCCCATTCCCCCCCTCACCCCCCCCACTTTGGCCGGGGTTGCAGAGCTGAGGGGCGGCGGCCCCGGGGGGCTTTGGGGTGGTCGCAGGGCTCAGCCTGGCTCAGCCCAGCCGTGGATTTTGGGGGGTGCTGGGGGGGTTGGAGCCAGCTGGGGGGGCACCTGGGTGTGAGTGGGGCTGTGGGGATCCCAAGTGGGGATCCTGAGGTGGGATCTGGAGGGATCTGCCTAGCGAACGGCCTCTCTCCTTCACAGGCACCGGGCGGCAGAGAGGATGCCCGTGAGGAGCCCCCCGCAGCCCTGCCCGCTGCCTCTTGAGGAAAGCAGGGCTTGAAATCCTCCCTCCTCTTCCTCCCGGGGGTGAGTAAGGAGCGGGGAGGCTGGTGACACGCAGCGGCTTTCTGTTCCAGGCGTGGGCTGGCTGTTGGGGGCTAAAATGTAAAGAAGAAAGGAGATACGGCGAGGCAGACGGCTGCGCTGGTGTGTGTGTTCTGCAGGGAAGAGACGGGCTCGTCCCCGTTTGTGTCTGGAAGTTGAGGAGCGTATGGCAGCCAGCGAGGTGGTCTAGGGAATGGTGCATCGCTGTGGAGCTCAGGCTTTTATACAGGTGGACGTGGCATAAGGGAGGAGAAATATCTGGAGAAGTTAAATCACGTTAATTGTAAAGGTTAATTAGCGCTGTTGTGGAGTGTAGCGTTGCTACAGGATAGTGAGCGCAGGCGAATGAATGCTGAAACGGGGAGAGGAGCGAGAAGAAATAGAGCAAACGTGCGGTAGAGAACAACACGGCCATGAAACCCTGCTCGCAGCGT